GCTGCTGGCAGCAGTGAAAGGTAGTTAGCTGCGGTGTGGGTAAGGTCAAGGTGCTGCGGTTTTCCCCTCTGAATTCACCTGCAAACCCGTTAGGAATAAAGTTAAAATGTGGAAAACTGGCTCAGTGACCGTTGTAATAGATATATGTCTTCTAATCTCCCCTAATTGATTTGTGAAGGTAGTTTAAATAATTTGGCAATAGTTAGGAGCTGAAAGAAAACATTTCCAACAGTTGCGCTAACTGAAGCACTTGATTTGAAGGCCTGTATTTTTATGCCAATAAAAGCTTTAATCCAGGTAGAATTTTAGCTTTCACCAGCATATTGTCAAATATTGACCTCATTAAGCAGATGCTTAGATCTAACGCAGATAAAACAGCTCCTTGTAGACAAACGTGGTTGGCTAATGTTGTAAATGAATTAGGACGATGAACTTGAAATGCTGCTTGGAATTAGCAGCAATTTAAATAGGAAGGTCTTAAAAAATGATACCAATAAGAGGGGAAAAAAAAAGCCCTATGCAGAGATTTGTTTGAAGGAGAAAAAACAAAAGTGGAAGATCTTTGGCCTGGTGTCTGCTGTGTGTGGTTTTCTTTTTTTAATTTATTTCTAATGGCAGGTGGCATACCAGGTTTGTGGTAAATAGCAAAGTCATCAAGGCCACGCTGCTGCAAATAATCCCTTGAACAGCTTGCAAACAATGAAACTCTTTTTCACCAGTGTGTAGTTAATAGAACTTTAATAGCTTCCTGATATACTTAATACTCAGAAGTATGACATGTTTCCCGTTGCGGAGGGGCTATTTAAGCTATTCTAAATCTACGTCTAGGTATTATTAAAGAGCAAGTGATGTATGACGTCTTTGGATTCTGTCATTATATATATTTTTTCTTTCATAAGTAGGACTGTTTCTTGCATTTAGTGCAACTTCATCATTACACTCTCTAGCTGGATTTGTGCAAAGCTGCTCTGACTTTACCTTTATGTCATTTGAATGATCAGAGAGTTGGTTTTCTCACTTTCTTTCTGTTTGAGATGGGTGTGCATAATGGAGCAAGTGAATTCCTTGCAACTTTTACACTAAAGCTGGGCTAAACACATGAAGATCTAATCGTGCCTGATATACGTTCTCCTCAGATCTCAAAGCCTTTGAAAGAAGACTTACTGAATATATTGCATGTTTACAACCAGCTACAGGACGTTGGAGAAGTAAGTTTAATGTTCTAAGGGATGAATAAGATTGTCTCTTTGATAAGTGTTTTTCATTTTTCATGTATGCCTTTCGTTTATGTTTACCCTAACAAAAATTCGTGCTTAAAATCTTTTTACAGTTTCTTTGGCATGTGCACAGGCACATACATACTGCAGGAAGCTTCTAATGTGTTAACTTAGAGCTAAAATAAAACAGGCTAGTAAACAATGCCAAAGCAGCACGACAAGCGTTGTTAATACTTGCCTGGTTGTTGTCTGGAAGCAATGTAGTGGGTCCCAATGAGCATTCCCACCACCGGCTAAACATAAATTTGACCGTTCGAAAAGCTTGCAAAAAATTAAAGGAGTTATTTTATGTCTCATGATGTGAAAAGTGGCTTGTATAGTTGTCCTTGCAGATATGTTGTTTAAAACTAATATTCTAGCCAGAGTTTGAAAAGCGAGATCAAGATTCCATGTGTTTGAAGGCTGAAATCTGGATTTTGGCTTTCCTATTTGTTCTTTTCCTTTTTTTTCTTCATTTGCCCTAGTAAAACATTTTACCTCTATGCAAAACTTCAGGCTTTGTGAAAAACACTAAGAGCCGCCAAACTTGCAACGAAAGTTGTAAGGTTTTATAGGTATTTAAGCTTTCTGTACCTTTATGTATTTTTCTGATTTTTTTTTTTGTTTGTTTCTTTTGCCTTCCTCTTTGCACTGTCCCCCACCTCAAGTCTCTAGGTCAGTCTGGTATCTTGTGTTACTCTATTTATCTCTAGCATTTTTCATTGATAGTGAACTGATTATTCTTCCTAGCCATTCAGGATGCGTAGAAGTTTTTGTTAGTCTTTATGTGCTAATGATAACATACCTTGTAACTGTTGTTTAAATGTTGTTTTGTTCTCTGTCAGCTTTCTTTGTTAATAAGTGTGTTGATGGAGAAAGCATAAAAGACTGTAGATGTTCAACTTAAACTGTTGGTGCTAATTCTTCAGGCTTTTCCTATATTGAACAGCGATCAGGACAGAAGCTTTAGTTCTGCTCTGAAATGTAATGGCTTTGCATTTCTGTGGCCCAGAATATACGAGCTCAAATTTCAGACTGAAGAAGAACGTTTGGTGCAACTCTTATTCCAGTCTTCCAGCTTGTATATTTTTTTACTAGCTCTGTTATTTTAGAAACTTTCATTTCTTTGAAGCATTGGGATGTTTTCACTTGGCAGAACTTAGTTTTTGGAACCTGTTTGTCCTGTCCTGGAAACTTATACAGAATCTTTGCTGTTTAGAACAGAAATTTTCTTTGCCTGTTTTCATCTCTACCTTCCAAGCAGAGGTTGTTCCCCCTTCAGAAGTGGGAGAAGAAATAAACGCTTAAAGTTTCTAATGAAGGATAAATGCCTTTTGCTATGAGGGAGTTATGCTGCTTATGACTCTCGTTCTTTTCTTTATCAGTGATTCTGATAGTGGTATCCGTCTGCACGGCAACTGGTGCTTGGAACTGGTTAATAGACCCTGAGACGCAAAAGGTAAAGATCATGCTGATCCTGAATGTAATCTGTTTCCGAACTTGGTGTTGCAGTAGAATTGTAGTAATCTGTACAGTAAGTCCAGTGCTATAGTCAGATGTTACAGTATCTTGAAGATCGCAAGGCTAAAGATGGGTTTTGTACCTGGGCACTTAACATGGCAAGGATAGAGCCACGTAGGTGCTATCTAAAGTGTAGTCAAAACCATGAGGCAGCAGCATTTGTTCTGATTTCTGGGGCAGTATTTCTAGGACAACAGCACTGGAGACCAACCCTTAGATAGCTTATAAAGCTCACGTGACGTGATTGTGAATAATAAAAACTAAATTGAGAATAACACAGGCAAACCAATGTCATAGACCACTGTGCGATGTCGTTTTTTGTTTTTGTCTAGGAGCCTCAATTTTATCTGCAAAGTCGCCCAAAGCAGTCATTGTCAAATGGATAAACTTTAGGTAGAAGACCATTAGGTTTCGGTAGTAGATGTATAATCTGATCTGGTTCTTAAAAAATATTTCGTTCCGTTGTCTGTTTTAATTAAAGCATTCTGTGAAAGTGGGAGAATGTTTTCAGTTAAGTTCTCAAGCTCTCTGGAACTGTTATGGAGTACATATTGGGACAATGCCTGGAAAAATGCTACTAATAGACCGCTTCTCTAAAGAATTGTTCACAAGTACACAGACATGTTTAAGAGCAATATGCTTTGAATCAAGTGACTAGACACCAACTTTCTGTATATTTTAGAAAGTCTATCCTGGAACTAATCTGACTTCTTTCCTAGGTGTCATTTTTCACATCACTTTGGAACCATCCGTTTTTCACAATTAGCTGTATTACCCTAATAGGCTTGTTCTTTGCTGGAATACATAAAAGAGTGGTGGCACCATCAATGTATCCTTCGATCGTCTTTGTCAGGTTAAATGTGGTAGTGACTGCTGTTATTGAAGCCTCTGTCAAAGTTGCTTTTTCTGTTTTGACTTAGAGTGTGTAGAAGTGTTAGCTATTTTCCTTGATGCAAGCCATGCAGTATAGCAGCCCGATGTCGAACTGTTTTGGCAGAATATAACATGTCCTGTGATGATGTAAGTGTTCGCAGCTCATTGCCTAAACGTTTTTTAAAAAAGATGTAAATAAATAAAAAAATGCACAAGTCTTTTTCTCTGTACAGTGTGTAAACGCCTATGTGTGTATATACACGCACACATACACAGACTTTAACAAAAAATGTGTCTGTGTAAGTGGAATGTAGAATACTCAGTATTGTTCCGTGTGTCATTTTAAGCTTAGCCTGTAGTATTGAACTCAAAGTATTATTGTTAGACAAAATTTTCAGGGTCTAAACTTTATTTTCCTTTTCTGTTTTGCAGACTGGAAAACTAATTCTGAAACCTAGGCCTCATGTTCAATAAGGGCCATCTTCCTTCAGTTTTTTCCACTGCCATGGAAACCAAAAATGACCTTTTTTTCCAGGTAGTATGACAGCAAAAACCAAACAGGACTGGTTGTCATTGCCTAGGAGCAAAAGTCTTATACAGTTGACAGTGAAAGTGTGCAATATTACTTTCTTGAATATTTATCCAAATTCTTTGTTACCATATTATCAGTGCTCTTGCTACTTCTGATTACCTCTTTTTTCAGTGTTAGTGTCACTTTTTTACTTCAGCTAGAACAAAGCATGCAGGTGAAGTATGTTAACTGGTTAGAAAGTTGAACTTGAAAATCAAACCTCATTTGTGTTATGTGTCTTTGTAAACTATTGTAAATAGCAGATCAATGCCAATGTTCAGAGAAAAAGAGTAATATTTTGCTGTATGGATTTTTGTTGTTGTTGTTGTTGTTCTCCTGAACAGTATTGTAAGGATCACTTACCATTTCCATGACTTTTTGTTAGCACACTTACTCATTACAGCTGTCCGTGTTTCCTGGTCACTATTTTTGGAACTGGCTAAAAGGCTTGCAGAAAGGCTGCCTGTCTGCCTGTGCTGGAGAAAACTGGTCGTGTTGTCTAAGAACTTTACAAATAGACAGAGGATCTCATTTGTCAAACTGTACCTATAGTGCACCAGACACTTTCACTGTGGTTATACATAGCTCATTGTTTGATCTGGTTCACGACACTGCTGTTTTAATCAGATTTTAATATTTTTAAATTGTCTTGAATATGCTTGCATCCTCCAGATTGTAAGATTGTACTGTACCTTAATTCCCCAAGACTATTGAGTGGATTTTTAGTCTGTGATAGTCAGAATATGAGACTAGTATTGGAAATAACTTCAGATACAAATTATTTGGTGAATTATGGAGAGTGCCACAAAATAACAGAATTTATTTCAAGTATTAAAAACAAGATGTGCATGTTATATGCGTAAAGTGTAACTTCTTGAATAGTTAGCACTGTAAATAGTTTAAAGAGTTTAAGTGTTCAAGGTGCCTTTTTAATTGTTTCAAGCTCCTTTAATTGACTAAGACTGCAAAGCCACTGCAAGTTTAATAACCCATAACTACAAGCAAGACTGCCCCTTAAAGGGAACCTATTGGCTTAACCAATATTCCTTTTTTTTATTCCTTTTAAAGTCAGTTGAGACATTAAAAACGATCTTCTATTATTTCCAGTAATTCTTTCTCCTGCCCTTCCATTATTTTTAGCTGCTGTATATTTTGTAGGTAAATGTGTATAAAATAAAGTCGTCCTATAAACAGACGTTTTCTTTCGTACTGTGCAAATGCAGATGTGAAACGAGCCCAGGACACTTCAGAAGTTGCTAAGTGAAGCCCGTAACATTGCACGTAGGGAAGGCAGGTCGGTCCCTGGAAGCGATTGTGATAATGTGAGGTAGCGCGGCGGGAGAGAGACGGCGGTCCAGCCAGCCCTCCGTGGTACAGGTCGGCCCTGTCTTCTGGGGGCGCGCAGGAAACGCTCTTTCCTTCCGCGGTTGCCTTGCCCGGACGTGGGGAGACATCTGGGCAGGGCAGAAGCCTTGGGAGCTGCGGGCCGGGGGGCGG